CAACAGAAGTCACCGATAGTCCGACGAACGGTGTGATAGAAAGACAGAATAACTGTAACAAGGGCTCTCTTAGAAGGAAGACGAAATCGGCGGGGCCGACGCTTCGCTCAAGCTACGAGGCTTACGAAGAGAGAACGATTCCTGCTTTAAGACAGTAAGATAAGAAGAAAAGGTAGAAAGTAAATGAAAAGTATGTGAAAATTGCGTTAAATTGAATTTCAGTTCCCATACGAACGAATTCACGAGGGAATGCCACATGGACAATTCGGAAACAAAGGTGATATCGAAGTTAAACGACAGAGAGAAAAAGCAAGCTGCCTTACCTATCGCCGTTTTTGGAATGGAAATGGTAATGGAAATTTTTAACGCTTGCGAGTTAGATCGATCCGTTATAAAGATTAAAATTTATTTTTCAGGTAGAGAAATTCTATTCGAAACAATTCACGGACAAGGAAGAGGGGCTGATGCAATTGAAAGAAGAATTAAAGACCTTTGATCCAGAAGTTTCCAAGCACTCGGCGAATAAAACGGCCAGAGCTGCGATTTTGTTGTTACACAGAGCCCTTAGGGACAAAGTTTTCAGCGTATACAGTCTAGCTGCACAATTGATTAGAATTTTTTTTTCAGAATTTGCAACTAGGTACTAGAATCTGATATTCCAATTAGACGCGAAAAATACATCGAAAATTATCATATTCTTACCATCATAGGGTATCTTCTACGGAGATTGCGAGAAGTGTGGAGAGATTACTCCCAGAATTGTTGACTAAATCAGGGGACACCACTCCAAGGATTCATAACATGGCAGTCCACACGATACTCAGTATGGCAGATTGTAAATGTGTCCGAGAATTGCACATTATACCGGTGCACTTAACAAGACCTGTTAGCAGTAGCACTCATCAAAGATTGGCACTGAGTAGGTTAGAAATGGTGGAACAGTTAATTCTGAGCCATGGAATATCTACTGATAAACAAAGGTGACTCAAAATAATCTTAATCTTAATAGTTCTTTTATGTCGGATAAGCATTGAAAAGTAACCGCTTGGCCACTGCTTGTGACAATTGATACGATCTTATTATTAGTGAATGTCACTCGCAGGGGTCCACCCTTGACATTTAAACTGAGCCTTTAAAACGCAATTACTCTGATAAGGCATTGTAATTGTTGCAGCGGGCTCACTTGTCGGACATTGTCAGAATTGGGTTCTACGGGATTGCATCATCCGGCGGAAGCAGTGAGAAAAGTTTCGGAAAGGATTTTAGTGTTGGTGTATAAAGTGAATCCTAGATTGGTTCGCAAACAATTGCCTCCTGACGATGATATTACCAGGAGGAATTTATTGTATCGTCAACTTTTTCATGAATTTGATTTGATCGATCTTGAGGTATAGATTTTTCTTTTAGTTAGAGAAATTAGATGTATATAAAAATTATGTTTCCATCGTTTCTTTCGCATTATCAAATATCATATAGAGAAAAAAAGAAACAGAAGCCAGTCACAAAACGACGACACCCACGCGGACAAAATCAACGGAGAATAACGTGGCAAATTTAACGAAATCTCCTTCGAGGACAAGTCCTGTTGTTAGTACTGGAAGCTCAACAAGTATAACATCTCCGTCCGAGAATAGTACAGAACATAAAGGTGACAAGTACGTATCGTGGAATATTTGATAAATTATATTTGAATATTTAATAAGAATATATATATTTTTTTCTTTTTTTTTTTTTTTTTTAATAGAATGTGCATATTTTGTCTTTCGAAAGGACAAGGATATTCCGAAGAAGGATTAAACATTCATTATTGGAGAAGTTGTCCTATGTTAACGAAATGTGAAGCATGTAAGCAAGTGGTGGAAATTTCGTATTTGAACTTACATTTGTTAAGTGAGTAGTCTTTTCTTTCAAATTCCATTTATATATAATTAATATCGCATTCAACAATATTTATTTTATTTTTTAGATGAATGTGATATGAGAAGCAATTACGTAAAATGCGACACATGTAAGCAAGCAATCCATGAAAATTCCTTCGAGGAGCATAGAAAAGATAACAAGTGTACAAGTATGCAATTCGATTGTGAACACGATTAATATAAATAAATATATAATAGAATTATTATTTGCAGAACCTATCGAAGGCTACGATCGTTGTCCATTGTGCTCTACTCTTGTCAATCAAAATAAATGGAGGGAGCATTTGATGGGTGATCATCCCTGTGTGAACAATCCTCGAAATAAATTAGGAAAAAGCTGTAAGTATTTAATATTATTTAATTATTTATTAAATATATGTATAATGCATCAGTGAATGCGAAATTCGTTTCATTTATAGGTTCAAAATCTCCATCAAATTCTCAGAACCTCAGTGGGAAAATAACCACACCACCTAATAGAGATTACTAGCGTCAATCATCAACTTCGAGTCTTTCGGAGTTTAAAAAATTTTAGAGAAGATTTTTCTTTTGTTTTTTTTTTTATAGTTTATCTGTATGTTATGGGCTACCCAACATTTTTCATATTTATACTTATATTTAAATGTTTTTTATAGAAAAACCCGTCCTTTATTAGTGGAAATCTCTATGTTAAACAAATTTTGAATCCTCTTAATCTAGAATCTAATTAATCTTGTTATCAACCAAATTTGAGAATGAAAATCTAACGCATAATGTAATTTAAAGCGAATATCAACAAGACGTACAATAGATATTCATCTTTTCCAACTTTAACATACAGTAGACGCAAAACGTTCAATACGATTTAATAACGATTATTGTTGAATACTATGGCAATAGCCATTTCAGAATTAATGATTCCTCTATATCCGGCCATATTTATAACAATATTTGTACTATAATCAGTAAAATATTTTGAGTGGCCGAAAATAACAATAAAAAAAGTAAAAAGTATTTGTCGCTCAAACTATAAAAATACATGTAATTTCATAAATTATTTCATAGAAAACGATTAGTAAAACGATTAGTAAATTTCCTATTAATTAATAATAGTTGCTTTTTTATCCTATAAAAATGTTTTATTTCATTTCTACAAGATATACATGTATTAAATAATATTCGTCTTGTCAAGGGTATCTTTATTAAATTTTAAGTCAAATGAAAATTTTTTACTTATTCTTGCAACATATTGAAATTGATATCTCAAAGAAAATTAAAGGAACTTCATTTTATATTATAAAATTATGTGTCATCTTTTAATTCGTTTGAAGTTTCTAACGTATCTTCTTTCTTTAAATTATTGTCCGCTTTGTTAATATCATTACAAATTTCATTATCCAACTCTTCGGGAACAGCAGAAGCACGATTTTCTTTGAATTTATTTTTTTCTAAAATAACAATTCTAAATAATATTTTAAATCTACAAATATATATTTGATATATATTTCTAAAAAAAAATACATACCAAATTTCGAACAATCAGCTCCTAATAGACGTAAATAATGAATTGCATCGTGTATAGGAACATATGCTCTCAAAGACATTGTACCTCGCCATCCTACCATTTGTAGCTTTAATGGATTTTCTGTTCCTTCTTCTTCATACATAAGTATACAACTTCCAGTTGCTAAGGAAATACATACAAATCAATATTTAGGAATAAAATTACAAATAATAAAAAATTACAATTAGTGATACTAATTGTGATTACTAATTAGTGATAAAATTTACAATTAATATCTAGTTCAATGACAAAAAATATTACCAAAGTTTTGTAACCGTTCTTGTGTTTCTGGATTAAGCTTCACAATTTCGGGTGGTGTATTTGGATTATTGTTTTGTAATAACATTATCAGATCATCTTTAGATATTCTGATTTTCCTACTATTACCAATATACTTAATAATAACTTGTATTCCTTCTTGTGCAAGTCGAAATGGACAATCCATATTCTTATTATCACAACGTACAAATGATTTAACACCAGTATTTATCAATTTTATTTGATCTTCATTAGACAATACAACATTACGTATTTCAGGTGATGTGTAATAAATGTTTTTCTTCTTTCTACCAATACATCGTACCAACAAACATCGAGGATCTAAATCGTCAGATATATCGTAAAATTTTCTGAAAATTTTTTTTCGATATTAAGAATCAATTAAATAGATAAAACATTATAAAAAAATGTTCACTTACTTAATGGATAACCACACATCTTCATCCTCTTTAAAATAAACAAATGGATCTTCTTTAAACCCAGAAGCAATTCTCCTACGTTTTTGTTTAGCAATTCGTAACCTGTTCATTTCATCAAACGTTTTGGTAGCATGGACATTCTTCTTTGCTTCTTCTTCTTCTTCTAAACTTAATTCTCTCTTGATTTTATTACTCTCTTGACAATTAGAATTCTCGGTTGATTCTTCTTTAATATGTGATACACGTTCCCAAGGTAAATAATTTACTTTTTCCAAAACAGCCACAAAAAAACCTCCTGTATCTTGATGATGTGGTAATATTCTCATACTATATCATTGAAAACTTATTATCATATGTTTAAATCAAAAACTTTAATAAGAAAATCTATTTTTATTTACCATCTTTCAAAGTGAAATTTAGCTGCATCCTCAGGTTTTGGTGGAAACATTTTCGGACGAACTTGCGTTTGCCATTGTTCAGGTACATCTTCCCATGATTCATAATATTGTAAATCTTTTGATGCTGGTAACCAATGTGATATACCTAAAAAAAAAATGTTCATTAAGTTTTTCAGAAAAAGAGAAAATTTATGTAATATGTAATATGTAATATATAATACCTGGATCGCATACTAATCCAGGTACTAAATGTCTGCAATCAACTAATTGCACAGAGTCTTGTGTTTCAACAAGAATCCTGTGAAGTACAGCTTCATTTTCTATTGGATTTAACGAACAAGTGGAATATACCATTTTTCCTCCAACTGTTAAAAGTTCTAAACCTCTTCTTACTATTCTAAATTGAATTCTTTAAATTCATAGATATAAATTATTTTTATCTATTGAAGTTATCATAACTGTTGATTAATATAAATACAAATCATGTAAAATAATATTTACCCATGAAGATTGTTACCATTTGCTGGACTCCATTTACACCAAATATCTGGGTTTTTCCTCATTGTACCATCACCACTACATGGTACATCAGCAAGTATTCTATCAAATCTATAACAAAATATAAAAGTCATTAAAATCTTTAATAATTATAAAAGTCATTATTAAAATCTTTAATGAATGAAAATAAACAGAAATATTTTATTTCATGTAATTTACTGACTTTAATAGTTCTTTTGTACCATCTGACTTAGTAGTAGTAAAATTAGGCAATATCGTGGCATCATGATTTGTAATTAAAACAATTGGACTGTTTAATCTTTTCGATTGATGTACAAGCATGTAACATCGATTATTATCAAGATCATTAGCTATTACAAAACCTTCTGTAAAAGATAAAGATAAATGAAATTTGCATCATTTGTTTATAAATATTTTAAATTTCAAATTTTAATTTTTTAATACCTGGAAGTGAATTTCCTTCTTCAGTATGTATCATTTCAATAAGTTGAGCTGTTTTTGACCCTGGTGCTGCACACATATCTAAAACCTATATAAAATTATTCTTTTTAAGTTCAAAATTAAATTTATTATAATATTAAAATTACCTTATGAGACGGTTTTACATCTAATACCAAAGGTGGTACCATACTAACTACTTCCTGTCTACTAATATTTCCACTTTCTGTTTCAACAATTAAAAAATTATGTAATCTAAAATAAGCTTCAGATCTTCTAATATCTTTTCTAGTTAATTGTAATTGCCAAGCTAATCCATCAGGATAAAATGGTAAACAACGTAATATTTCCTTAGTCTCCTCATTACTTTTGGAGTCATCTTCCATATGCATATTTAAAATTTCCTTAAAAAAATCTCCTTTAATAGTTTCCATTAATGCTTTAGCTTCTACTTTTGAGCCTGTAATTCTAAATGCTACTGGAAGATTCTTTCTCATAGTATTGATAAAAGAATCCCATTGTTCTTCAGGAACAATTTTTTGAGTTTTGTAATAATTTTCAAAATCCTTATTTTCCCTGATAATATCTGCATAATTATGATGTGGTGTAATATCCCACTCATCCTTTTTCTGTTAATTCATAAAAAATTTATATATTATCATATATAAACAACAAATTTTGATAATAATTAAATTTTGTTATTTGTAATATGTACACTGTATTGATAAACGTTGTATATAATAATAAACATAACCGTAAATTGTAACCGGTATTATTTTTTTCAACAATTAATGTTCGTACCTTTTGTTTTTCACGACGTTTTTCTGCGAAATTTTTTTTTTGCTTATGTTTTCGATTTCTTGCCATTGTTGTATGTAAAAAAACTATATAATATCAGTCACTTAATCACTCAACACGTGTTTCCTAAGTAGCAACAAATAATGACAAGATTATTGCCACGGACAATATATAGAATAGATCAATCACTCAATATTTTTTATCCCACATCTCAAAGAAGTTTAAAGTTCCTTTAACATTTTAATATTTTACTGATGTTATTGATTCGATTTAGAATAATTGCAATAATGATTAAAATTGAAGCTGAATTTGAATATAATATAAAGAATTTTTAAAATTATTTATTTTATATTATATTTTATATTATATATTATATATATTTTATGTTTTCATAATTCATAATATATTCTATATGAACTATTTTGTATTTTTATATTTTCCCCTTATATTTGAAATATATTTTTATATTTATATTTTTCATCTTCTTTTTTGTCAGTTTTTCTTTCAATAAATTTTTTTTTCTATGATTTTTGACACAGCATTCTGTCATTTTTTTTATTTGAATATATTTGCATATATATTACTCTATAATACTTCTCAAACAATCTGAATATTATTCAATTTTTATTGCGTTTATTCTTTTTATATTACAAATTTCTAAATAAGGGCATTCGGCTGATAAATTAAATATCTATCAAAAAGTTTTAGAAATTAGCGCCATCTCGCGTTTGAATCATCGAAATTCCAACTTGTTACTAGGATAGCAGAATATGCGAGGAAGTATTCCAAGTCATAAACAAGGGAAGTAACATTATGCAAAAAGAATAGAGAGAATATCCTATCATTTCGAGAACCATTCATTAATAATTTATTATCTATTAAAAATTAATACTTTTAAAATTACATTTTGAAGCATTAAGCAAATTTCTCATATCAATTTAAATTTATACAAAATTATTAATTCCTTCTCCTGATTAACAATCCTAAAAATCTTAAATCCAATAATTCTTAAATATTTTAAATGCATTATAATTTTAAATGCACAAGCTTTCAATTTTAGAATAATTATTTTAACTAAATATATGTCATTTTTCTCTCAAGATGATAAATATAAATACAAATAACAAATGAACAATAGATATATTAAAGTATATAATTTATATGATTCATATAAAATATACATATAAATTCATAACTAAGAATATCAGTGTGAGTATACGCACACATTTATAAAATATCTAAAATATATATAACATGTTTTGTATACGCACGAGGTTACGCACATGCGCTGAGCATATGTGAGTATATTTGTATATATAAGTACTTATTTGTTAGTTCGTTAAATGACGAATCATTGACGAATGTTGAATGAATGAACATGAACACGTCAACAGAGCACGTTGACAGAATATGATCGAGTAAACTATGAGGTATATGTGTGTATGAAGTGGAAATGTAAGATAGAAAGATAAGGAAAGGTAAATATCTTACAGGTTATCTGTCGCACTTGGTATCGGTTGAGCAGGCAATGTAAATAGGTAAAGAAGAACCATCGCAGTATCCGTAAAATTGTTGCGCTTGTAATTGAGACTGCGATTGTGGTTGAGTTTGGGCTAAAAGAGTGTGCATAAGATGCACTGGTGGTTGAACCAAAGGCATCATTTGATGCGACATGGTTGGAATGCAAGGGGCTATCGCGTTATTTCCACGATCTAACGTGGATTCGTTATAAGATCCGAGATAAAGCTCGTGATTGATCTTGCCTGAATAGGCGCTAGCAGGCCTAACCATCGAAGCATCAGGGATACTGCTAGTCGCGGCCGCTACAGCTAAACGCGTCTGATCGATTCGACTGGAGGACCATCTGAAACGGCACACGCAGATTACGATCACAATCAATGCTATAAACGCGACAACTCCTCCTACGATACCGATAATAAGTGTATCGTCCGTGCCGGTGGAAGATCCGGCTGGCGAGGAAGTGGCATGATCGTTATTGTAATGTTTATTGCGATCGGCATTTTGTACAGCAGGTGCTACTGTCCAAATAATCTCGGGCTCGGAAAATGTCGACCTGACTGTCGAGGAAGGAGAAGACGAGGCAACGAGAACGTGGTTAGTTGCGGTGTTATCGTCGACGAGCTCGTCAACAGAGGTATAAGAAGTGAAATCACATGACAATCGATGTTCAGCGAGATTGGTGAGCGACGAGCCAATCAGATTGGCAGGAGCGGAACAGAGAACGAGATTCGAAGGATCGTCATTACCGACCGTTTTCAACCATTTCCAGAGGTGCCTTGCGTCGCAATTACAATCAATCGGATTATATCGAAGTCCCTTGATCTTCACCGAGCCGGTTCGTTCGTCAAGCGCTGAAAGAAATTGGCCAGATAGAGTGGTGAATTTGCTACCAGAGATGTCAAGTTCCAATTCGGTTGAGCGTGGTACCGGAAAGAAAAGTGCGGCAGGCATCGAGTCAACGGAAGTGTTTTTGAGACCGAACACTAGCTTAGGCCCTCTGACACCGACCAACGAACTGGACAAAATACTCCTGAGCCTGTCTCCTCGTAAAATTACCTCCTTGAGCCGTGGATGCGAACGTATCGATAATTGTTCATTGCTTATCGAAGAATCTTTGATCTCGATGTCCAACAGTTCCAAATTATTCATTCCTTTCAGAATTCCTTGAACGTCGAAATAACCTAATTTGGGATAATCGTAGGCTATCAAGGAACGAAGTTTTCCGAATGATTTGAATGCATTCCGCTCGATTCTCGTGCAATTCTGCAGACTGGACATCTTCAGGAAACGTAAACTGACCAAGCTATTGAAACTTGTTTCATTGATAATCTTCACGTGATTGTTGGATACGTCCAGCCAGCGGAGCGCTGGCAACGTTTGAAACGTTCGATTCATGTTCGAAAAATCCGACAATTTGTTCCTCGAGATATCCAACGTTTCGAGCATGGTAGCACGTTCAAGGGTGGTTGCTTTGAGCTCGGTCAAATCGTTTCTGGAAAGATTGAGTCGTTTCAAGAAAGGTGTCTCGAGTCTGACCATCAGACGATTGATCCCAGTATTGGCCAAGTTCAACGATCGAAGAATCTTCGCTTCTCCCAGTATTCCTTTAATCGCGTTCGCGCTTAACGGATTATCCGATAGATCCAATTCCTTCACATTGCTTGCAACCTCCTGGCTAAACAATTCGACCATTTTATTTCGAGCAAGATTCAGGCTAGAAAGGGAGGCGGTCTGTCGCTGCAAAGATCTAATCGGAATTTCATTCAATCGATTCCCGGATAAATCGATACTCTCCACGGAACGAACTCTGGTTGGATCGAATATCGTTTCCGGAAGGGAAGTTAAACGATTGTTTCGAAGATTGAGGTGTTCCAAACGTAGCAGGCCCTCCATCGTTCTCTCGCTCAGAGTTTCGATATCGTTCCCTGACAAATCAAGCAATTGGAGTTGCGTGGAATTATGGAAAGCAAGCTCGTTGAGCGATTCGATCCGGTTTGCGGCGAGGTTCAGTGTTCGAAGCCGAATGAGTTGAGAAAAGGCAAACTCGTCCACGGATCTCAACTCGTTCCCCGATAAATTTAACCATTCAAGAAATTGCAAAGGTTTCAAATAGTCGCTTGGAAAGTGGAGAAATCGGTTATCGGAGAGATCAAGCTCCCTTAATCTTGGATGAATGGCGAAAGCGGTCGGTGACAGTCGATCTATTCGGTTCGAAGATAAATCAAGACTCTCCAACCCGGTTCCAGTATCGAAATGCTCCCCGGAAAACGAAGTCAACCTGTTGCCTCGTAAATTTAACTCGTATAGATTGGTCAATCCTACGAAAGCCTCGTTCTCGATATGCTCGATGCGATTCCCGGACAGGTCGATCCTCGAGAGGTTGACCAGCCGATCGAACGTGGCCTTCTCAATTTTTTCCAACCGATTTCCAGCGACCGATATCCTTTCCAGCGATTCGAGATTTCGGAACAAAATTGACGGCAATACGTTTAGATCTGTACGCGATACATCGAGATCGATCACAGACGATGGAAAAACCGGTGGGAAACCACCGTAGAGAGGGTTCGAGCTTAGATTCAGATATCGCACTCTTTCCAAATAATCAAACGTTTCTGGAGGGATTCGCGTTAACCGGTTACCGGATAAATCAAGGGTGATCAACCGTCTTAAAGGAAGTTGGCCAATCGAAGTCAGCCTATTCGAGGACACGTCCAATTCGAGCAACGTTTCTTCCAATCCGACAAATGTATCGCGTCCTATCCTTGACAACATGTTGCCGGATAACTCGATGCTCGTCAACTCTTGAAAATCTTGGAACAGTCCAGCAGGTATTTCTCGAACCAGATTTCGAGTGAGTGACAACGTTGCAAGAGTTGAGGCTGTCGCTTCGATCAACTCGATCGGGAGAGCAGCGACTCGATTGAACTCCAAGTGCAGATGAGTTAAAGATGGTAATTTTGTCAAAGCGGTAGCTGGTACTAATAAGATATTGTTGTCTTGCAATGAGAGCCATTTTAATTTCTTCAAACCGTTGAACGATGATTCCTCGATCTGCAAAAATAAAATTGTGTTCTTTTCTGTTTTTCTTTTTTTTTTTTTTTTTCACTCTTTTTCATTCTTTGCGCATACCGTACGTAATGCGTTCAAACTCAAATCGAGCCTAGTCAATTCTGATAATTTCGAAAATGTGTTGAAACCTAGCCGACCAATGTTATTTCGGCTGAGATCCAGCACTTGAAGCTCTGCTAAAGTTGATAAATGCCCATGCTCGATCTCCTAGAAGGAAAATCATGGAAAATCGGCATCACTTTTCTCCTTTCCTCGTTTCTTTTCCAGAACAAATAAGAATGTAAATCATTACTTACATCGATCAAATTGTCCGATACATTGAGAAATTTTAATTCCGTTAAGTGTCTTAGCGCGTCACTTGGAAATTCTCGCAGAAAATTTGTCGACAAATCCAACTGCAATAAATTGTAAGCTCCTAAAAGTAGTCACTATTCTATAATTTTTTTATTAATTTGCATGAATAGTTTATTCTTTATCCTTTCTTCACATAGCTTTTTCGTAATAGAACATTTTTCGTACCTTTAAAAACGTCACTATTAAAGCGGCTAAGATCATTGCGAGAAATATTCAACAAAAACAATCGTTCAAG